ATTTCCAAGAATTTATTCTAGAGAAAAATTCTCACTTTTGCAAAATAACATGCATTCTGTGACATTCTCTGCAACATGGACTATTATAGTAAAAGTCTTGAAACAACCTAAATAGCCACTGATGGGAGATTAATTCAATATATTAAGGTTCATTCATACAAATAAATGAGGAAGCTCTTTATCTATATAATAAAAGCATAATATGCTAATTAGACCAGACATCCTTCTGGAAGTCCTTCCTTCCAGACAAAGCTGCAGCAGGCGGGGGCCGTGGCAGACGCGGCAGAGGCCCCCAGCCACAGCGGCAGCGGGTGGGGGCTGGGGCCAAGGCCCTTGCACAAATTTCATGCATCAGGCCTCTAGTGTATTAATAAAGAATAATCACAGCCCTGGCCAGTGTGGCTCAGTTGGTTGGGCACCGTCTTGTGTACAAAAGGGTTGCCAGCTCAATCCCCAATAGGGGGTGGGGTGTGTGGGAGGCAGCCAATCGATGTTTTGTTCTCACTTCCATATTTCTCTCTCTCCCCTTCTCCCTTCCTCTCTCTCTAAAAAATCAATAAAAAAATTTTTTAAAGAATAATCACAGATATATTGACCAGTGAAAAATGCAAAAGGTTTACATAGTCTCTCACTTATATTAAAAATATACATATATCATATAACTCAACATAAAAAACAAACAAACAGCAATCCAATTAAAAATGGGCAAAGGACTTGAATAGACATTTCTGCAGCAAAGATGTAAAAATGGCCAATAAGTACATGAAAATATGCTGAACATCAAGAGTCATTAGGGAAATAAAAATCAAAACCACAAGATTACCACTTCATACTCATTAGACTGGTTATTTGAAAAAAAAACAAAATTTAGAAACTAACAAGTTATGGAGGGGGTGTGGAGAAACTGGAAAAAAAGCATCTTGTGTTGTGCTGGTGGGAATGTAAAATGGTGTAGCTCCTGTGAAACAATACAGTGTGGTGTTAAAACATTAAACAGAACTATCATGACCCAGATATTCCACTTCTGGGCTTATACCCAAAGAACTGAAAGCGGGGATTTCAACAGATATTTGTACACTGATGTTCACAGCACATTATTCAAATAGCCAAAAGTTAAGAATAATTTCAGTGTCCATGAACAGATGGATAAACAATATATGTGTATGGTACATACACACAGTGGAATATTATACAGCCTTATAAGTAAGGAAATTCTGATACATGCTACTATGTGGATGAACCTTGAGAACATTATACTAAGTGAAATAAGCCAAACACAAAAGAACAAATATTGTATGATTCGACTTATACGAGGAACCTAGAATAGTCAAACTCATTGAAATAGGAAGTACAATGGTGGTTTCCAGGAATTAGGGAGAAGGGAAATGGAGAGTTATTGTTTAAAGCAGTAGTGGCCAACCGGTGGTCCGTGGACCACTGGTGGTCCGTGAGGTCTGAAAAGTTGGCAATTGCTGGTTTAAGGAAACCTTTGTAGTAGCAGTCACCAAATGGTGGTTCCCCAAACACTGGTGGTCCATGAGGTCTGGAAGGTTTGCGACCGCTGGTTTAAAGGGTACAGAGTTTCAGTTTAGAAAGATGAAAAACTCTGGAGATAGATGGCAGTAATGTGAATGTCCTTAATGCCAGGGAACTGTATCCTTAAAATGGTTAAAATGTTAAATTTATAGAAAGATAAATACCATATGATTTCATTTATATATGGAATCTAAAAAACAAACTAAAGCAAACACAAAAGAAACAAACTCATAGATACAGAGTTTGGGGAGGTGGGCAAAAAAGAGGAAGAGATTAAGAAGTACAAATCACCAGTTATAACAATAGTCACATGGATGAAAAGTACAGCATAGGGAATATAGTCAATAATCCTATATAATAAAAGGGTAATATGCAAATTGACCCTAATAGCAGAACGACCGGGAACAACCGTTCGCTATGATGCGAACTGAGCACCAGGGGGAAGACGCTCAATGCAGAAGCTGCCCCCTAGTGGTCAGTGCGCTCCCACAGGGGGAGCTCCGCTCAGCCACAAGCCGGGCTGATGGCTGCGAGCACAGTGACAGGAGCCTCTCCCGCCTCCTCAGCACCACTATGGATGTCTGACTGCAGCTTAGGCCCGCTCACCGGGCCTAAGCCACAGTCGGACATCCCCCGAGGGCTCACGGGCTGCCAGAGGGATGTCTGACTGCCAGCTTAGGGCCTAAGCCAGGAGGTGGACATCCCCCAAGGGGTTCCAGACTGCGAGAGGGTGCAGGCCAGGCTGAGGGACCCCCCGAGTGCACGAATTTTTGTGCTCCAGGCCTCTATCCCCCAAGGGGTTCCAGACTGTGAGAGGGCGCAGGCCAGGCTGAGGGACCCCCCGAGTGCACGAATTTTTGTGCTCCAAGCCTCTAGTATTGTAACAACTAATAATGGTGTCAGATGAGTACGAGACTTATGCGGGCAATAACTTCATAAGTTATATAAATGTCTAATCACTATGTTGTACACCTAAAACTAACAATACAGTTGTCAGCTGTTAACTGAAATTTTTTAATGTTTTAAAGAAATAAACTGCATAACCAGTGTGTATAATTTTCCAAACTGAATCAGACATTAAACTTTTAAATAGGTTTTAAAATGTTAAATTTTATGTTATATATATTTATAATAAAAATACATACATACACACACACATTTGTATTTGCATGGACAATCTCTAGAAGAATCAGAGAAACTTATAACAAATCTTGCCTTTAGAAAGGTGAAATGGATAGCCAGGAGTTAGAGGTGAAGAGACTGACCTGTCACTATATATTTTTTATACCTTTTGAATTTTATCCCACATAAATATACTGTCTATTCAAAACCTTAATTTTCAATCGATATTATTGATTTAAATCTGAACACAGAACAGGAAAATGTATGTAAGTCAAAATATATTATGTCCTATGTTTTATATGAGGCAAAATAAAACTGCTCCTAAATAATGATTTTGAAAATATACCTCAACTTTCAAAACTATTTAACAAGGAAAATGAACTGTTTCAGAACTTAAAATATCAAAACAGAAATAAGTAAAAAGGTCTTATGAGAATTTTGTATGTACAATATAACATTGTTAACCCAGATTAAATAGAGGAAAAATAAATCTAAATTATTTACCACAAGAATATAAAGTGGAATAAATTAAATAATAATAATACCTAATATTGTTCTAAGCATTAAATCCCAAGCAAATTTGTCACAAACTAAAAATGTTCTAAGAGTTTTAAAAATGCCCATTGACAGCCCTAGTCCGTTTGGCTCAGTGGATAGAGCATCAGCCTGTGGACTGAAGGGCCCTGGGTTCAATTCCAGTGAAAGGCACATGCCTGGGTTGTGGGCTTGATTCCCAGTAGGGGGAGTGCAGGAGGTAGCCAATTAATGATTATCTCTCATCACTGATGTTTGTATCTCTCTCTCCCTTCCTCTCTGAAATCAATAATAATATATTTTAAATAAATAAATAATAAAATAATAAAAATGCCCATTGACAATAGCAGTTCTCAAATTTTTGGATCTCAGTTCCCCTTTACACTTTTAAAAATTACTGAGATCCTCAAAGAGTTTGTTAATATGAGTTATATTTATCTATAAGTACCGCATTAGAGATCAAACATCAAATTTTAAAAATATTACTTTATTTAGAAAGAACAATTTAAAAACCCATTCTGCGTTTACATTAATAACGTAATTTTCATGAAAATAAACTACGTTTTCCAAACCAAAAAATAACTTTAATTAGAAGAATGGCTGTTTTACATGTTTGCAAGTCTCTTTCATGTCTGGCTTAATAGAAGACACCTGAATTCTACTATCTGGTTCTGCATTCAATATGTTGCAATATCACATAACATGTAGCTTTTAAAAAACTCCATACACACTTGTGAAAAAAAAATGAGATTGAAAGTAGCAAATAGTGTCTTTGATTTATTATGAAAATAGTTTCGACTTCACAGACCCCTGAAAGGGTCCTTGGGACACACAGGGGTCTCCTAACCCTGCCGTGTCAAATACTCCCATGAGGGGAATATGGAAACTGAGGCCCAGAGGGCATCAGTAAGTCACTCACAGTCACAAAGCCAGGCCTGGAACTCAGGAAGTCTGATTCCAGACCTCAGAACTGCCCCTGGGAGCTGGTGGAACGCAGCAAGGCATCTCACGTTGCACACAGTGATGGAAAACCCACTGGCTGTGGCAGGCACAATACCTGGGCTCCCCTCTACCCACTGTGGCTGATGGTGGTGCCCACAGCCAATAAGGAGGGAATATGCTAATTGACTGCCCCGTCCTCAAAGATGGCCCAGGTGGGCCCAGCTGCTCCGTGTGCCTGCCTCTGTAGACCCCCAGTCCCCTCAGCCTCCCAGCCACCCAGGGCCAGCCCGAGACGCAGGCAAGCCTTGAATGGCAGTTGCCCAGCCGCCCAGGGCTGCCCAAGGCTCAGGTAACCAGGGCAGGCCAAGGCTTGCGCTGCCAGCTGTGGCAGCAGCAGAGGTGTGATGGGGCGTCGCCTTCCCCTGATCGCCGGGTCACCTCCCACCCCTGAGGGCTCCCAGACTGTGAGAGGGGGCAGGCCAGGCTGAGGGACCCCCCTCCAGGGCATGAATTTTCATGCACTGGGCCTCTAGTTTTAAAATAAATCTATTCATTCACTCAACAAATATTTACTGAATGCCAACTTTGTGTCTAGCACTACTGCTACAGTAGAGTTTCTCTAACTCACAGAATTAGTTTGGAACAGGCAATGTAGATATATTCTTTTCACCAGACTATAAAGAATAAGAAATAGTATGGATCTGAAGCAGTAGTTAGCAAAAAGACCTTTTACAGGGCACCGCAACATAAATACTTAAAATAGCATGATAAATCCAAGGAATGTTTAAAAAAGAAAAAAGAGCCCTCTTCTATTTTATGAATTATATCAGTAATTTAGAATAAGAACAAAAAAAATATTTCCAAACCTCACATCCACTGTATTATTCAGCTCATGGTCAAACACTTCAAACGCCTCTCTGATTTTTCTTTGCAAGTCTGCTACTACTAACTCTGTAAAAGACAAAGTAAATAAAAATTATTTTACTTTAATTTTGAATTCAACAGAAAAATTTCAATAAACTACAAATTCTCAATAAGAAAGAATATGCAGAACTCTTTCCTAATCGTCTTCATGTGTCATTTAGCGTGTTTAACTTCCTCGGGCAATCTCAAAGAAGGGAACAAACTTTTTTTAGACCTTTTTAGTACCAAAGGTGCACTAATTTAAATGCACAGCTTCATGAGTTTTTACATAAGTATTTAGTCATGGAGCCACCACCCAGATGAAGATATAGAACATTTCCCACACACCCTATCCTCTATCTCAAGCGTAGCCTGAGAGGCCAAGGAATCAGTGCCACAGATATTGACTGGGGTGCACTAGTTGACCACCTGCCTTGCTTTTCCTACACTTGAGGGCTGAAGTTGGGGGATGGGAAGCATACAAAAGCAACAACTGGTTTTGAGACAATTAAAAAGTAATTTATTTAATAACTATTTATGGAGTACCTACTATGTACTAGACACTATTCTAGGTGCTCAGGTTATAGCAAGGAACAAAAAATCTCTGCCTCCATGAGACTTTTTAAATCCTCACCTGAGGATATTTTTCCATTGATGTTAGAATGGGAGAGAGAAGTATCGATGTGAGAGAAACACATCGATTGGTTGCCTTCCATGTGCACCCCAACCAGGGCCCAGGCCGGGAAACCTGCAACCAAGGTATGTGCCCTTGACCAGAATTGAACCCAGAACCCTTTGGTCCCAGGCTGACGCTCTATCCACTGAGCCAAACTGGCTAGGGCTCCCTGGGATTTTTTATTGGGGGAGATACATAAGCTTACACATATTTGGTAAAAGATTTAGAGTAAGACAAATGGTGCTGGAAAAAATAAAGCAGGGAAGGGATGTGAAGAGTGCTAGGGGTGTCGGTGGAGGAAAAGGGTGGTATGATGGCTTGGGGAGGCCTACTTGATGGTAAGTTGACATCAATGCAAACCAAAGGAGGGGAAAGAGCCCTATAAGTAACTGCAGGAATAATTTTTAGGCAGAGAGAACAGAAAAGCAGAATGACAAGAAATAAGGTCAGAAAGATGAGTTTTGGGGTAGAAGACAGATTCTATACAGGGGCTACATTAAGGATTGTGTCTTTTACTTTCAATGAGATGAGAAATCACTGCAGGTTTCTCGGCAGTGATGTGACATGGCCTGGCTTATATTCACTTTGGCTATTGTGTTAAGAATATACTAGAGCCCGGGCTGGTGTGACTCCGTTGGTTGAGCACTGTCCCGTGCCCTGAAAGATTGCCAGTTCAATTCCCAGTTGGGGCACATGCCTGGCTTGTGGGCTCCATCCCTGGTAGGCGGTATGTGGGAGGCAGTAAATCAATGTTTCTCTCTCTCCCTTTCCCTTCCTCTCTCTCTAAAAATCAATACATATACTGGAAAGAAACAAGGGTGGAGTCAAAGAGACCAGAGAGGAGGCTATTGCAGTATTCCAGGTGAAAGACTGATGGTGACTTGTACCAGAATGGTAGCAGTGAAGGTGGTGAGAAATGGTAGGGTTTCAAGTATATACTTTAAAGGGTAGAGCCACAAGATTTGCTGATAGGTTTGATGTAAGGTGCAGAGAGAAAGAAAGGGGTTGAGGTTGACACCAAGGTGTTTGAAATAATATTTTAAATGCAATCAAGTCTCAAGATTTGTTTTTCAAATAGTAAGTACAATCGGACACCCAAAAGGAAAAGATTTTTAAAAGTATGAGTTTAGATAATTATTTTAATTATAAATACCATCAAATTATAGAAAATGGGGAAAATGTCAATTAACTCATATTCCCTTTACCCTACATAAGCACCATAATTTTCCTGTATTTTCCTCTAATCTTTCTCCATACACGCCTGTTAACATATAGCACTTAGTAACCACATTCATTCATTCAACAAAAACTTACTGAATGAACACTATATCAGCTTCTGGTCAGGTGCTATGTCTACATTTACAATCAGAGAGATAAGCATCTCATTTTTAGAAAAAAAAATCAAAGTTCAGAGAGGTTCATACACTGGCCCAAGATTGCAGAATTACTAAGTGGCAGAGTGGGACTGAAACCAGATTTTTCTCACTTGAGGGATCCTGCTCTCTCTCATTCCCTATCCCACCTAACTAGTTTAAAAACTTTAATTCCTAATTATTTCACTCAACTGTTATGTTTTTTCCTGGCTGCAACATAATCTCCATAATCTTCCATTTTTAATAGTACCAAAGGAATATCCTACAATTATTGATATTAATTTTTCTTACATGGCAGTGAACAACTTTTGCTGATTTAACAAGTAAAAATAAATGCCATCTCATTTTAATCTACACTTCTTTGATTACAAATGAATCTGAATAATGATCCATAGGTTTATCACCTCTATTTTCTGTTATATATTATCTATTCATGTTCTCCATAAGTTCCTTTATTTTTTTTCTTAAATTTTTTGCGCTCTTTAAATAATAAAGACTTAACCAGTAGGCTGGAAGGGGTCGATGGGGGAAAAATGGGAGACATATATAATAATTTTTTTTTAGTCCTCACCTGAGGATACCTTTCCAACTGATCCTTAAGCGTGAGTGGAAGAGAGAGGGAAAGACAGAGAGAAACATCGATGTGAAAGAAACACATCAACTGGTGCCTCCTGCACATGCCCTGACCTGGGCCCGGCTGGGAAGAAGCCTGCAACCGAGGTACGTGCCGCCCTTGACAGGAATCGAAACCGGGATCTTTTGGGCTGCCTGCAACCGAGGTACGTGCCCTTGACAGGAATCGAAACCGGGATCCTTTGGACTGAAGGCCGACACTCTATCCACTGAACCAAACCGGCCAGGACATGTAATACTTTCAATAATAAAGATTTTTTTAAAAGACTTAACCTGTGTCATAATAAGTGCAAACGAATTTTCCAGGTCAGTTTGGATTCGTTTTTTCTAAATAAAAAACGGTCTTATATCCTTTCTGATCATCAATCATGATTACTGGAGGAAGAAAAGGATATGGAAGAGTTTAGATTCAGTAAAGATCACTTCAAGTCCTACCACAGTTAATTACTCTTGTCTTTTTGTAATCCAATTTTTCAACAATAAACTAAGTGTCTTTCACTCTCAAAAATATTATATTATCATTTTAGTGACTGGCATTGTATTATAGAGCTTTATCATAATTTATTTAACCAAACGCCAAATTGTAGACATTTAGGTTGTTTCTGATTTTTCATTGTTATAATTATTCTTTAACTAGAGGCTGGTGCACAAAAATTCATGCACTTGAGGGAGTCCCTCAGCCAGGCCTGCGCCCTCTCACAATCCGGGACCCTCGGTCCCCTAGGCCTGGCCTGAGATCAGGGCCTATTGGGGCTTTCCTTCCCCAGGCTGCAGGCAGCTGGCCCCACCTTCCCCACTGTCCCTGCCTGTCATCTGTGCAGTGCTGCCCCCCTCCCCTGCCACTGGTGGCCTCCCTCTGCAGGTGACAGGCTGGGGTGCGATGGCTTGGTTGGCCTAGGCCTCCATCTTTCACTTGCCTGCCTACCTGATCACCACTAACTGCTTGCTGGGGGGTGGGGCCAGCCCTGTGAGGGGCCGTCTGCCTACCCGATCGCCCCTAACCACTCACCTGCCTACCTGACCACCCCTAACCACTTGCCTGCCTGCCTGATCGCCCCTAACCGTTTGCTTGGGGACAAAGCCAGCCTGGTGAGGGGCCATCTGTCTACCTGATTGCCCCTAACCACTTGTCTGCCTACCTGATCACCCCTAACTGCTGGTCTGACTACCTGATACCCCTAATCGCTAGTCTGACTACCTGATCACCCCTAATCGCTAGTCTGCCTACCTGATCACCCCTAATCGCTGGCCTGCCTACCTGATCTCCCCTAACCACTCTGCCTGCCTGCCTGATTGCCCCTAACCGCTTGCTTGGGAGCAGGGCCAGCCCACGAGGGGCCATGGTGGTCTGGTCTCTGGTCCTTTCGGTCATGACGCCTCTGGCCTTTTATTATATAGGATGATCCATCTTGCACAATTCACCCTTGTGTATTGTCTTCTTATCTAAATGAAATACAATAAGTTGAACGCATTTGAATTTGTGTGAGGCACTGGAAAGGTCCTTATTACTCATGATAGCACCTAGGGAAGACCTCACGGGTTGGACACTGCCAGTGCACAAAGCTGGTATCTGCTTTTAAATTTAAGAATGTCTTTAAAGTCCATTATCTTTCACTCTTGCCTGTCACAGCTGTTGAGATTCCTTATCTTATAAAGTTTAGAAACATATCCTCTGAGGAGCTTTTGGGTTGGTGAACAAGTGGAGGTCCTGGAGGAGTATCGCACCCAGAGAGCCCGTGGAAGTTCCACGCCCCTCCCCTCCTACTTGGCCCTGTGCATCTCTCCACTTGGCTGTTCCTGAGTTAGGATCTTAGCAGGAATATCAGAGGATGGTCAGTCCAAGTCTCGATCGGAGTTGTGAATATTCCCATTGCTGCTGATAGAAAACCACCCCAAGGCAGCCTACCGCAAAGCTATAGTACACTTTCTTATATTGTGCTAATGTCACATTCCTAAGTCAAGTACAAATGATGTTCATTTTATCCAAAAATTCTTTAGAGGGGAATTATTCTAATGTTTCATTTTTGTCTAAATACAGAATAGATGTGCCCCCAGTGTATATGCAAGACAATTCAATGGGTTGTGGGAAGAACACATTACAACTTCCATTTATTTTTGGAAAAAAAAAAACAGAAGAGAGAGAGAGGGAAGAAAAAGAAACTTATTCTTTAAAAAAACAAGGAGGAGGGACAAAATCATCCTTTTTCTGAATGTCTGATGAACAGTCAATTATTTTTTCTTCTACAAATAAGAATATATTTACTCTGATCCATCCAAAATTTATTTTATTTTTTAAAACTTCACTTCTTTATTTTAATATGTTTTTATTGACTTTAGAGAGAAAGGAACTGAGAGGAAGAAAGAGATAGAAACATGGATGAGTGAGAGACCTCAACATTGATTAGCTGCCTCCTGCATGAGCCCCCTCGCCCTGGGTTACTAGCAACCTCCTGGTGCATGAGTCAGCTCAACCCCTGAGCCACATCGGCTGAGCCATCTAAAATTTATTTTTACTTGATTAAAGTGAAAGATGAATTTCTAAGTTTAGCTTAGCACAGTGATTCCTCACTTATCGTCATCAATAAGTTCTGATGTGTAAAGAAATCAATGCATATACTGGCTTTAAATCAAATGTGTCCCTGTAAAATAAACATTTTCTTTGGAAGCATCTTAATAACTTAAGGGTAGGTTTCCAGACATTTATTTTCCTGCCAAATGATTCCAATATGAAATGTTTGCTTAAAATTTTTTGTAGCAAAATAATGTTTTAAAATATTAATAATAGCCAAAAATTTCTCAGCTCTATGATAATTCCCATTCCCAATCTTACCTTTCCAAAGCCAAGTTACTTAACTATTGACCAGAAAACCTGTGTGGTAGAAATATTCTCAAAAGCCTTAGTATAGGAGAGAGAGAGTAAAAATTTCCAAAATACTACTGTATATGGTAAATATATTGCCATTATTTCAAGCCTTCCATCATTTGTTAATGTACCTATACTCAAAGGGTAAAAATTGCTATAAAATAGCTTAACAACAGGTCCTTATTTATCCTGCAATTAATCAATAGAGAAAAGCAATCTCATCAGATTTCTTTATGTGCCTTCTATTCTACTTTTCCAATATTGAAAGTGCAGGTTACATATCACAGTGTAGAACATGTCTCCACTTGTTTTTTGTTGAATGTATTTTTGTGACGTATGCTCCTAATCATAAATTTAAGATGCAAACATATGTATGGTGCCACATCTAAAGTGTATAGATTAAAGAATTAACTGAATTCTTTACAAACTCATCCAAAATTGAAGAGGAGGAAATACTTCCCAATGCATATTATAAGGTCAATGTTACCCTGATACAAAAAAAAAAAAAGACATCAGAAGAAAACTATAACCAATATCCCTTATGAATATAGACACAAAAATCCTCAAGGAAATAGCATATCAACTCCAGCCACATATAAAAGGGATTATACACCATGACCAAATGAGATTAATCCCAGGAATGCATATGAAAATCAATCAATATAACATACCACATTAATAGAATACAGGAAAAAAAACCCCACATGATCATATCAATTGACAAAAAAAAAGTATTTGACAAAATTCAACATTGTTTTATGAAAAAACACTCAAATAACTAGGAATGAAAGGGAACTTCCTCAACAGGGTACTTATGAAAAACCCACAAAGACCCAGCTGGGCCGGCATGACCCAGGAGATCATGGTTCAATTCCTGTTGAAGGCTCAAGACCAGGTTGCAGGCTTGATCCCTAGGAGGAAGCCGATCTATGATTCTCTCTCATCATTGATGTTTCTATCTCTCTCTCCTCTCCTTTCTGAAAAGAATAAAAATATATATATTTTAAACCATGAAGAACATCATACTTAATGATGTAAGGTATTCTGAATCCCCTAGGAATCAGTACATGTTAAAAGGAAATGGCTATTATATATTAATCTGGCACACAAGTTAAGGGGAGATATTAAGGGCTTAGGGCTTTTATACTGTATTTCTAGGGGTACTTTGGTTTAAGTGTATAGCATCAGATGCATTTTTACACAGATGCCTAAAGTAAACAGCATTGGGAAATGCTAGCGAAACAGCCAACGTATAGAATATCCTTTTAAAGGAAATGTTTCTAAGTTTTGTAATGACAGTTCTTGAGTCAGGCTTCTTGTTAATAATATACTATGTTAGTGTCCTTTCATTGTTGTTTTTATTTTGTAGACTAATGCTAAAGACTTTCCTGTATAATTATCTAGAACTGTTCTGGAAAAGTTTTAAGAGTACAAATTATAACAACTTAGTCATGTAAAAAAAATCAACCCCAAAAGGGAAATATTAGGAAGAAAAATATTGGTTTGATATAGTCCAATTCTCAAAAGATTGGTATCAGCCAATCTTCCCCAATTAGGAGAGCATAATGTTCCATTATTGCTAAAACTGACACAGTAGAGACAGTAGGTATAGTAATCTGATTAAGAGCACTGGCCCTGGAGCTAGACATCTAGGCTCAAACTTGGCTCTTCTACATACTAGCTGTGAGATCTTGGGCAAGTGGCTGAGTCTCTCTGTGCCTGTTTCCTCAACTTAAATGATGACAATAATAGTATCATCCTTGGAAAACAGAACAGCAGTTCCTCAAAAAGTTAACCATCAAATTACCATATGACCCAGAAATTCCACTTCTGGATGAACACCCAAAAGAGTTGAAATCAGGAACTTGAGCAGATATTTGTATACCAATGCTCACAACAGCATTATTCACAATAGCCAAAAAGTGGAAACAACCCAAAGGTCCATAGATGGATGAATGGATAAACAAAATGTGGTATATACATAGCATGGAATATTACTCAGCCTTAAAAAGAAATTAAATTCTGATGCATGCTACAAAATGATTGAATGTCTTCAAGACATTAAGTGAAATAAGCCAGACACAGAAGGTTAAGTACTGCATGAATCCATTGATAGGCAGTATCTAGAATAGTCAAACTCATAGAGAAAAGAAAGTAGAATGGTAGTTGCCAGGAGTGGGGTTGGGAGTACTATCGGGTACAAAGTTTCTGTTTGGGATGATGAAAAAGTTCTGAAAATAGATGGTGGCCGATGGTTGCACAACAATGTGAATGTACTTAATGTCACTGAACTGCACTTAAAAATGGTAAATAAATACACTGCATCCTAATTCAAATGTATTGTTGGTTATAAAATTAAAGGGCATACATATCAAACAATAAAAGGGGTTTAACAATTCTGAACACTGTAATCCAAGGTTCCAGGTAATGAAGCCAACTAGCAAGCCAAACCCAAACTAAAGCATCACTTTCCCCTTCTTGCCCTTTTCATGAGAATTATAGTCAGACTGTCTGTATTCTTGCCAAAGAATGGCTAAAATACCATGGTACGTAACATGTCAGAAAGTTATATTAACCTATTAACATTTTCATGTGACAAACTAATAAAAGCTTTAGAAAATTTTATTGTCAGAACTATACATTTAAACTATTCAAATTTAAATGAAAGTATAACTATAACAATTGTCTCTGCATGATGTCTAAATAATGGATGTTAGTGGTTGCAAAAATATTTGGCCACTTACACTGCTCAAATCAACATTTCAAAACAACAACTGAAACAATGCCTCTGATTTTAAAATATCTCATGAAAAAAATAACTTTTATATAGAAAACTATACATTTAAACTATTCAAATTTAAATGAAAGTATAACTATAACAATTGTCTCTGCATGATGTCTAAATAATGGATGTTAGTGGTTGCAAAAATATTTGGCCACTTACACTGCTCAAATCAACATTTCAAAACAACAACTGAAACAATGCCTCTGATTTTAAAATATCTCATGAAAAAAATAACTTTTATATAGAAGAAAATCTTGAGGATTATTAGAATACTAGAGGCCCGGTGCACAAAAATTTGTGCACTCGGGAGGGGGAGGGGGGTCCCTCAGCCCATCCTGTGCCCTCTCGCA